TGACTTACTGTAGATTTGCATTTGTTCACTATGTGAGAATTAAATGATTAACTCAGTGACCTGTAGTAATCAAAGGCTGAGGTTAAAAGTGGATTAGTGAGTTAAGTAGCCATGATTCCTTCATAAAGCCGAGTCTGTCACCTCCTGCTCTGGGCAAAGAGCTCTGGCTTATGTCGTCCCCTCTGTAAGCATCTGTAAAGCTTTTTTTTTGCTGCTTAAATTGCCCTTTGGAGAGTTATGCTGTATTAATGCTTGTAGTGGGTTGCTGTCAGTAATACATAATAATGTCTGTATCAGGTGAACTGCTTGTTCATGTAGAAAGCGAGCTGTAGAGATGATGATGCAGGAAAAGCGTGACTAGCCATGGACAAGAAGATGGGCGCAAAAGCATGCTTCAGCTGGAAGTCACCTTCCAGCACTTGGAGTGGCAGTGAGCAGGCTGTCTAGGAGCGTTAATAGGTTGGAAGCTGTAAAACCTGACACTGTGAGAACAGTAGGGATAAAGGAAGAATTGGAGCATCGTGCTGTTTTTCTCCCAGTCTCCCATAGGTATGATGAGACTGGTTACAAACACTGATACATCTCTTAAGCCAGGCGACTATCTTGACTATCCTGGTACTTTACCTTGCAGCAGTCAGTGAAGACAGCTCTTTCACGTTGTCAGATCTATGCTCAGTGCCTGGCAAAAAGATAACATAAGGAGTTGCTGAGGAAGGAATGAGAAGAATATGCTATTCTATGAACCTGTGGTCTGTCATGTTTTGAATAGTTATCACCCCTGCCTTTGTTGCTCCCGTCTTAAAGAGGGTACTGTAGACCTGGAAAAATGGTAAAGAAATATGATAAGAATAATCAGAGGTACGTGGTGACTCCATTACTGGGAGAGATTAAATAGTCTGTGATTCCTTCACTTGGAAAAGAGAGAAGACAGTTGTTAAAAATGTATTTTAAAAAAAAATTATGGGGTGGAGTTTGTGATTAAGGAACTATCATTCATAGGGCTTTTTTTCTTTCTATAAGCACAGAACTAGTGAGGAACACAGGATGGAAGTTTTGAATCAGGTGGAAGTTTTGAAATAAAATGAAGTAATTGTTTGTGCCACAGTTAAATACTGGAGCATACTGCTACCAGGCACTATTTATGCCAATAATTCAAAAATGTTCAAGAGGTGTTTAAGTAAATCTGTGGAAGAAAATCCCATCAAGAGCTATGTAGAATAAAAAGCAGATAAAACCTCTGGTTCAATAATCTGTTAACTGCATATTGTGGAAGCCTGGGAGAGCATATTGTGTATTTGCCCTATTGTTAGACTTTTGCCTAAGCATCTATTCTTGTTTATTCTAAAACAAGATTGATGTTTTTTCTGACTCATTGCCACCATAATTATGAGCTTGTAGTCCTGATTTTCAGGTCTTCTTTTTTTTTTTTTTCCTTCGAATCTCTCTTTCTAGGAGAGGTTCTTCAACACAGCAGCTGTTTACCCTCTTTCACATAGCAGGCAAATAGCTATATGCTAGGTGGGTCTCTGTAATGACTGTATACCTTTAAGATTAATTTTTAAGAAGTCAGGGGGAGAGAATATGTGATCTGTACACTATAGGTTTTCAAAAAATATATATCTGTACTTTTATTTAGCTTTAAAAAGATGAAAAATGAAAACAGTCCAGAAACCCAAAGAAGTAAAGCAAGCGCACCGTGGGAGGAAAATGGCCCACAGAGGTAAGGCAAGGCATGATGTCTTAGGTATTGTACAATGGCAAATATCATGCCATGGCAATAGGTTGAAGGATATTGATATAATTTATAAATATATTAACAGGGTCACAATAAATCTGTATTGCATATAAGAAGATAGGTCCTGTCATGGATAAATAATGAGTTAAAAATTAGGAAAGTAGGTGTAAGAGGAAGTGGTCAGTGGATCAGAGCCACCAGTGGCTTTCCACAGAGATTTGTCCATAGATCTCTGCTATTCAGTATATTTGTCAAAGACGTGGAAAAGGGATGATAAAGTTTGGTGATGGGGCAGAATTGTTTAGGATAGTGAAAGTTGTCTGTGAAGAGTGACAGAAAGACCACTAAATTATGACTGATGAGTCACTAGATGGTGGATGATGTTGAGTCAGTAAGTGTAAAGCGAGGGACATGGAGGCAACAAAATAACCCTAGATTTCTGAGTAAAATGAAGTGCTGTGGAGTTATGATGGATAACTTAATGAAAACATCAATTATCTAGCAGTCAGAAAAACAATTATTAGGAAAGCAAGAGAACAACATTATGCCACTACATAAATTTGTAGATCACATATTTACTCCATGAATTGTGAGTGCAGTTCTGATGACTTATCTGAGCAAAAGGAAGAGGCTTTGAGAGGGGCAGTAAGGGTAATCAAAAGTGTGAATGGCTGTGCAGGAAATCTGTGCAAGGAGCAATGGCATAGGCCAGACAGGACTCTTTCTTCCATCTGGAAAAGAGATAATTTCAGAGGGTGTGGTCTAGAAAATCATGAGTACTACAGAGAACTGAGAAAGAGATCAGGATTGTATTTTTCCAATGTAGGAACGTGGGATCTTCAGATGAAGCTATTGGAGGTGGTTTAAAAACATTGAGAAGGGCAGTGAGTAGTGACTTGCCATGAGTAGGAGACCTGTGGTCCTCCTTTACAAGTGATGCTGGAAGTTAGTGGATTCTTGGGAGAAGCTGGGTAGTCATGGAAGAGAAATCCCCAAGGGCTTCTGAAGACAGAGTTATAGCAGCTGGCTCAGTAAGTCCCTTGGACTTGGAATACTGCGAGTCTGAGAGAGCACTGTGATATGTATTCAACTTTTTGCTTTCTCTAGGTGGTTGCTTACGGCCACTGTTGGAAACAATCCACTGAACTAAATAGCACATTAAATGTAATCCAGTTTGATCCTGCTTTTTTGTGATGATTCAAATCTATACCTGATGTGTCTTTTGGACAACGATGATGATTTACCCTGTGTGCTTCTTCTGTAAACATCAAGAGTTTTCAGAGTAAGGAGAAGGCAGTGTGCAAATATCCTCTTGCTAGGATAGATGTTTGTTTGTGATTTTTAAAGAAGAAGTGGTGTCAGCTTGTCACGTTATGGCTTCCATGTTAAAATTGCTCTCAGGACAGCAGGCAGTTTGATCCCTCAGGAGCCAAAGAATGGTAGGATTGAGTTTTTGCAAGTCCACCTATTCTAAAGGACCACGCAGTTTTAGACACATAAGCAGACTGTATGCTGCACAGAGGCTTTCACAGCTTCTAATAATAATTGTCATTGAGATGAACTGTGGCAGCTTTTTGACTGTGCAGAGCAGTGCTGTAATCAGCAGTCTGCAGAAGCAGGTGAAGAAGAATATATCCAATTTGAAGACCAGAGGGGTTTAGGAAAGCAGAAATAAATACTTTATCTGGAATTTGGTGAGACTATCATGTTTACCATGTAGTTGTTCTGAAAAGGGCTGAGTAGTGTTAGATAAAGATGTGTAGTTGAGTTTAGCATCCTTCCTTCAAAAAGTCGTGGAACATCAGTGGACCACCTTAGAGTGATATGTACTCCATCGCAGGCCCTGTTACACTGTTCGAAGAGGTCCATATGCTTGGGTAGGAAGGTATCACAGGATAATCCGTCTACATCTAATTTGGTAACAACCCAACCCATTGGGTCCCACCTAGGCTGAAGTACATAACCTGAAGCTTGAAACACCTCCATACCATTGGCAGAGGGTTGTGTGCACGAACAGGAGAGAGATGGAGCTAAAAGTGTTTCACAGTCCCAAGCATTAGCTCTGTGATGAAGATGTATGTTGCTACAGAAACACTGGTTTTGTACTAATATCCATGGAAAACATAAAGAATAGAGGTGCATTTGAATGCCTAGCTCTGGGTTGGATAACTCATACTAAAGCACAGAAATTTTATTACGCTAAAAGAATATGTACATATTTGGTCCTACATTTTGTAAGCTTAGAGCTGTTGGCTTGGCAATGCTAAGATGTGTCTCTCCAACATTTTCAAGGATCAGTGTAAAATACTTATTGCTGGAAAGCAATACCATATTTATTTACATAGCGTGCACGCACACACATACATGTATAGCTGAATATGTATTTAAGTGTGTGTAAGCCTTCTCATTTTTGTAGGCTGAATCTCAGGTAGGTGGCCTAACTATCTTGGAAGTTTTAAAGCTGACTGTTTGCTCTTCCTTTTTAACCCTAGTGGGCTATATAATTCTGCCAGTGACCGCAATAAATCACCAAAGTTTCCTTACTCTCGGCGACGAAACCCATCAGGTGGCAGTGAGAATGAGTCTGGGCAGCCAGTCCGGAGGAGGTAAGAGCCCTGGGGCTTCTCACAGTAGAAAGCTTGAGGTCCTGCATGCTCTATGTTCAGTAAAGGCTCTTGCAGACACAACTGGGTCCTGGGAAAAGGGATACTCTAGGGGCCAGTTGTTAGTCAAAAAAAAAAAAACCTGAGCAAGAATACCAGATCTGCTTTTGGAAGGGAAGCTTTGGTCAGGCTTCTTGCTTGTGTACTGTTTTGGGCACTAGGAAAATCATGTTTAAAATATGAGAAATTGCATTATTGGCATGTGCAAGATCCTTTCAGTTGCTGCAACTGTTTTTCCCTGGTGAAGGAAAGGATTGATGGATGTTGCTTGCTTGACAGTGAGCTTCTGATACAGGGCAGTATTTTGTTTTAAGTACATTGCTTTGCTTTAAGTGCAACTAAGATTAAACGAATGAGCCATAAAGCTGTTTTCAGCAGTCCCTTGTGTGAATTACTTTACATTAGAGGGGATGCTAGCAAAAAATATGACTATGAGATACTTAATGTGCTTTTAATGGGTATGTGCTGAATTGAGTAGTTTAGAGAAGTAAAATTAAATGGACGGAGATTCTGTGCTGTGTGTACTGGAGTATGTCCAAAATGCAAATTACAGGGACAGTTCTGAAGTGATACAGTTTTGAGATATTACATGTTACCTGGGATGATTTGTCCTGCTGAGAAGCTGCTTTCATCGCTGAGTTACCCTGGTGCTGTGATCTGTTGTTAAGTATAGGCAAATGTAGCTACTGTGCCATACTCATCGCAGTCTGGACTGCCTTACAAGCAAGCGCCTGGGAGTTACATCTTTGGACATCTCTGAAGTGATCACGTGTTTGGCTTTCAAAACCAGGGTTTGCAAAGGGGTCTCTGATGCTGCTGCTATATCTATGAGGAAATCTAGTTTGATGTGGAGCTTTCATATTTATCAGGTTTCTGAGCTGCTCCAGACCTTTTATCTGCCATTAGCTGTCTAGAACAAAAGTGAAGAAACTCACTCATGGTGTATGCTTAGTGACCTCATGCCTGAATTAAAGTCAATCAGTGTAGCTCTTTCTAAGTCAATAGAGTTACGTTGATTTACCCTGTTGGACAGAGCCTTTGTAAATATTAATAGCAGTGTGTTTCCTGAATGGATTTTCTGATTCGTTGCTAGCTTAGTTGTCAGAAGGACTTGTGGTGGTTTGTAAAAACAAAGGAGTAGAGATGTGCGGTGCAAAACTGTCTTGCACAAGAAAAGAACAGTGCATGTGCACTATGCAGTAGGAAGTTTTCTGAGTTGCAAAATGTTTGTAATCTGGGATTTGCATTTGGCTGATCTACTTGGTGGAGAGGTGGTCATGCCAATAGCAAGTTTTCTCTTGGGCCACCGCACCAACAAAGTGTTGTTAAAAGTCTTATCTCATATACGAGACTGTGAAGACTGACAATAGTAGGTAGATTCTAAACTATGTCTTGGTTTTATTCATGCACTTTCCTTTTTCAACTGTTTAATAACAATAGCTGTGTTGTTTATGCACTCTGTACTGGAATTAAGAGGAAAACATCAGGCTTTGCTATGCTGGAAACAGTAGGAAACTCTAAAGGCCAGCATACTATACTTAACTTTGCAAATCAAGGGTTTGCAATGAAAGCTTGGGATCACGCCTTCACAACCTGTTGTAGAGGTCTCCTGAAAAGTTTAAAACAAGCACATGCCCTTTTTTTCTCTGCCTTAAATCATACTGAAACAAAACATTTGTAAAGTTTTTTTTTTTTAAAAAGATGGAAGTTTTTGTGTATTTGTGTTAAGTGACCCGATAGTATTTCATTAAAACTTCCTTAATGTCACAGGAAAAATCAAAACAGTGCCGAAGATTCAGATTTAAAGCAAAGGAGAAGGTAAATATGTAATCTATAGCAGCCATGAAATGATAGCGAAAGTACTGATCATATTTTAGTTCCCTGCATCCTCTCCCTTCCTTTCTTCTCCCCCATCTTTTTAAATGTTTGAAAGGCTTGTTATGTTCCACCCATTTAATTTTTTCTTTCCTATCTTACCTTTGCTAAAATGCTTTGTAGCATAGCCTCATCACAGCACAGATTCCTACAAGCTGCCTTGCCCATTGTTACTACACCATGCTACAAGCAGTTTGTGGAAGTTTACTAAAGGCTTGTCTGCAATTTGAAAGTCAATTCCTAAAGTTTTAGCTTTTGGATTTTGCATCTGCAGGTTTTGTTTTGAGTTCTTCAGCCTCCTAGTCCACTTTTAATTAATCTGTTTTGAAAGCAAGTGTATTATCTTTTGAGAGGAATTGTCCTGCAAAAGGTAGGTGCAGAGGCATATGCAACGTCTTACAATCTTCTCACTGTGTTGCACACTTTTTGCCAATTTTTTTCTTAAGCTTCTTTTTTTTCCCTGTGCATTCTTGACTAGTTGTCACATTTCTAAATAAAGTGCTAGTATGAATGTGGGTGTGCCCTTCAACAGCTTCAGCTTTTGACAGATTTTTGTATCTGGAGTTCTCTTGTGCCACATTTGCCTGCCATGACTCTGTGCTGCACTTCTCCTCAACCCTGGCTGCTGGAAAAAGGAGACAGTGCAGTGGATTGCAATGTCAGAGTCTCTTGAAGCTTGCGAAGGAGAGGAGGCACTCCCAGGATCTGATTCACTGCTGCAGCGCAGGAAAGGAGCTCTGGCAGAGATATGAGCATCTCGGGGACAATCACAGGAAGTCAGAGAAAGTGTTCACATACTTTGCACCTATTATAAGATACCAGATTATTTTTTTGAAAGATGTTACCATTACAAGCTGCCAGTGATAGACCTGTGGTAGATGTCCAGCACATAAAACTGAGAGGATTTAGTTGGGCATCTCAGGTGGAAAACCCCAGTGCTCAGAAGGGACCTCTTCCCAAATGGCTGTGCCTGCTGTATTACATTACAAATGTACAAGTTTGTTATTGTGTATTGGAATAGACCTTCACTTCACTTCGGCTACTCTCCTGTCATTTTAATCAGAAAAGGACTGCACCAGAATATGAGTCTTCTCTGTTAACTATTTCTCTGAAATACCAAATCCTGTAACCCACGGCACCCCCCAAGCCCACTCCTGGACGGTATTTGTTCTGTGTCTCTTGCCAAACTGACTATGCCTTCTTTCTTGCTCCTTGTGTCAGACCATATAGATATACCACCTGCAAAATATCAAATATATTGCATGACAAAGAAAACATGAGAAAAAAAGATGAAAGGTGCTTTGTAATTGTCAGAGATCAGGATGATCTCATGTGTTCTTGCACCTGACTTAGGAAACCACCTTTGTTTCCATTTTTGGTATTTTATTCAGTTCAGTAAAAGCTGACATTTAATGTTCAGTGAAAGATAATATTCTGACAACTAGCACGAGCAGCTGCCACTCAGCTGACAGCTCAGCGTCCCTTCTGTCTACCTGCAAGTGCTTTTCTGACAGGGAACACAAGGTAGTTTGATGTGCAGTATCCAAAAGGTGGATCAGATTTCCATTCCTGAAAAGCTAGAGAAGGGCTTATCTTGAATTTGAGCAAATCAGATGTTTTATTTTGCACTTATCCTACCATGGTGTGATTTTTGCTGCCTTGGTACCTTATGGGATAAATTGCTTAAATCAGAGCAAGAAAGTACTTGAAGTGCTGAGAAATGTGGAACAGAGTTGCTCCGATGACCTGGAAGTGTGAAAGAACATTGTTGTTTGGATGACCTAGCAATGTTGAAATTCAAGAATAGTGGAATATTTATTAAACATCCAATTTTGGGGGAAAAAAGGTATACTTTTGGGCATGTAAAGTCTGCCACTGTTCTAGGGCATGCATGTTCTGAACTCTCTGAACGTGCTTGAGCCAGTCTTTTTGAACACCATCTTTTAATCTCCCTTCTTCTTTCAGGGTTACCTTTTTCTGTAGTAACATACATCTTTCTTATCCCTAGTTTCAGCTTCACCCGGAAATATATCTTTTTACCTGGGAAACTGGCTATCCTGAGCCTCTCAGTGGCTTTAAATTATGAGCCATGAAATCTGGGGGTGAGGAGAGGTTTCTACTTCTCCTCTGCGGAAATTTCACTTTTCCAAGCCTATTCCCTTCAGACAGGCTGGGTTGAACAGATTTTCCTAGGCTTTAGTAGTCCTATTATTCTAAAACATTTGTGTTTGAATGGGAGCTATTTGAGTTAATGATTTCCTAGTTTTGGAGTGGGAGGAGACCAGACTCCATAGACTGAGGCATTTAATGACCCAACAATTTGATAAAACCAGCCATAATTCACTGGTATTATGGGCAAATCCATGAGATTATCAGCTGTGTCAGGAGGACATCTATAACAATGTCCTAGTTTCAGAGACAGAGGGCAGAGTGATGTGTCCCTGACCAGACAGGACACTTACAGGAGGTCCATGTGCAGCTGTTCCATTCTCTGGGAAGTCTCTCTCGTCTTTTCTCATCCTGTTTGGGCTCTTATTCCTAAACTGCTGGAACATGCAGTGAGCAGGTGCTTGTCAATAGCCTCCAGCCTTATCATGAAATGTTCCTCTTACTTGTTACTTACATCTAATGAACTGCCTTCACTCCTCAGCTTGTTTTGAGGTGTAGTTTAACAAATCTATCCTCTTATGGAAGTAGCTTATCAAAGACCAAAAGAAGAGCCAGGAGGGACCTCTCTGCCAGCAGCGTCAGGAGTTATCCCCTTATATCTCCTATTTCATGCCCAGAGACCTCAGAAGAAAATTTCTGTTTTCCATTTTTTTCCATTGCAGCGAAAACATCACTGATTCTAACTCCTGATATCCTAAATCCTTCTAGGCCAGCTCATGTTAATATTGGTCAACTTTCCCCATTAATCAGCTGGGCCATCAGTGTTGCAGAGAAACATGTATTTTTTTGGAGGCATTCAGAGACTATCGTCACAATAAAGAATGGTCTAAAACCAGGTTTTGATGAGAGCATCATTTTTTAGGACTTAGCCCAGCAGTATGGTAACAGAGTCCTGTTTCTAGGGCCAGAGCCCTGACAGCTGGTCTGTATGCTCCAAAATGTTGATCAGTGGCAATCAAGGATATAAGGGTCTCGGATAGTAATGACCAAGCACTTCTCTCTACTGAGAGGAGTTTTTCTGTAGGTAGGCATATGCCCATTTTCTTCTTGAGGTTCAGCATCAGCCTATTCCACCAGTCTTTTTCAGTAATAAGTAATCAGAGCCATAAATGTCACCTTACTATTTGTAGCTTCACAGTCAGAGGTGATAGAGAAGTAACTGCTTTATTTCTTTTTCCTCACATGGCACACCGTCTTTGTAGCTGTGCATCGGGTCATCCCAAAGCTGTGTTGATACACACACCTGCTAATGTGTGCACTTCAGCCTTTCTGTATTTATAAAAATCAGCAGAATCATAGTGTTAGTGGCGTTTCTTCCATACTGCCTGACACTTGAAAAATGGTGTGAACTTAGTAGAAGCCAGATGGAAGTTAAGGTGAATAGAAAAAGACAGATCTGATGAGCATTTTGTTTTGCCTGCAAAACCAGAATTACTGTATCGTTTCTCTTGAGGGTCCCACAATATGGAAGAAGAAAAGAGCCAGAATGCGTACAGTTTAAAGATAAAACGTTTCACACCTCAAAGAAACATTTCACTGTGGTGTAAATACAAAGAATGCTGAGAGATAAAATAAAACAAACAAATGAAAATGCAGTGCAATAATTCAAAAGGAAAATAGCACTCACTCGACGCTGTGCTCTGGGTGCGCTACTTTCAAAGCAGTTATTCCCAATCAATTAATGAGAAAAAGGTAATATGACTTTCAGGTGTAGACAAGCCCTCTTGATTTTCCTAGTAATGTCTTTGCAGTGTTGTTCATTCTTTGTTTAGAACTTCCGTACTTTTGATGTTAGTAGATAAATGAATCTTGAGATGTTGCTTTTCTGCTCTCCAGATCACGGTCTCGTTGTAACACCAGCAGTGGCAGTGAATCGGAAAATTCCAACAGAGAGCATCGGAAGAAGAGAAACAGGTGACCTTTAAATGTTTTAGACATAGAGACATGAAACACAAACAGGTGGAGATGGACTTTTCTGAGACGGACCTAGTAGGAAGGAATCTAACTTGTTTTATATCTATACAGTCCTCCTGAGGCATCTTCAGGTCCTTTTTTGAATAAGAAGAGAGATAATTGCCAAAACACACATACATCATAGATGTATGCAATGAATGCATACTCTTCTGTTGCTTGGGAAGAACTCATTAATGAACTGCAAAATCAAATATAGGGCACATTTACAAAAGACTTGCAATATTAAAACAAATAAAGTGGATAATGGTGATGACAAGATATTCACAGCATATACTTCAGTACCTCAGAAATTTCAAGTGCAGAATTTTAGCAGAAAATAAGCTTTTGTGGAGAATAGTAAAAATATTTTAATGGATCTGAAACTCAGTATTGTTGTTAAATGCATGCACTTAGTTGTATAAATATTTTCATCTTCCAAAATGTAAAGTGTAGGCCTAAACCTAAAATGTGTACAGCGTCAGCTTTTAGTAGGACAACAGTAGTTAACATCAAGTGATGCTAGCAAGTTTTGTTTCTTGTATTCTATTTTTCTTGTTGCTGATATGAAAAAGCCTAACAACTGATTTATTGTACCAAAAAATTTCCTTTAAAACTGCAACTTTTATGTTGCACTTGAGATAACAGCATTTAAGAATTATTTATTAAAATGTATTTTTAAAAAGCACATAGAATTTTTTCCTATTGCATAAACAGAGCATAAGAGAAATGTCACTAGACAAAAGAGGAATTGTTTAAGGCAAGTTTTCTAAGAAGCTGTCTGCACAAGCTGCCATAGTTTCTTGTCTCACGTGCAGTACTATGAGTGATAAATGATTTTCAGGTATTTGGAAGCTCTTAGAAATAATTATGTGCTAGGTAGTGCTGCAGAAGTATGTAGTATAATCGTATTTTAAGCAGGACTTGCAGTAGTTAATGATGCTAAAAAGTCATTGAGACATTCAAATGGGCTGGTATAAAGCATATCTGAGCCATGAGATTTCTTTGGAGTTTACTTAAACTAGAGTCTTGTAGGATACTTGACTAACAATAACCTAGTGTGCATGGAAGATTTGTTTTCCAGGTAAGCTCTGAAGTTTTAATGAAATGCTGAGTATAATTTCAGTAACGAGTAGGTAAATGGTATTTTGTATCCCTTTCTCTTAGAACACTCTTCCCAGGTTTTTTCTCCTGTGAAACTTATTGTTCAGGGACCTCCACAAGCAAGTGAAGGAAATTAGAGCCTGATCATAAGAATGTTTTTCAGAGCTTCTTGCACTATAGAGATTGAATTGTAAGAAGGACTAAGAACAGCTTATTTTCTAGAAAATAAAAGGGCCTTTACCAACACTTCCTCACCTCATGGAAAAGTGCTTAAAATTAAGAAGAAAAAATCAATTTGTGTGGATTGTTTTTATGTTTTTCACATTTTCAGAATGTAAGATACATCAAAAATGTTAATGTTGCAGCATCTCTTACTCTTTAGGTGGTCACTTGAAATCAGACCAGATAAAAAGTCATTATCAGTCTTAAAGTAAACAAGAACTAAATGAGCTGCAGGTCTGAGACTTGTTCCTTGTCATCAGGTGCAGGAAAACCACCAGTCATAATGAATTTCTGCATTTTGTTAGCAGCCACAGTTTTTTTTTGAATATAATAAGCTGAAAGGGCACAGGCACTGAATAGCTTTCCTGTTAGCAGAGGTGAGCCAGCCCTAACAGGGTTAAATGGGACAATATAATGAGGCTTACAACTGCTGTTACTCAAGTTTTACCTGTTGCATAGATTAATACTAATCTATTTCCCAGTATGATAATGGGGTCCCTGGCATTAGCAGACACAAAGTTGTATTGTTTTGCTGGAATAAAATGACTGAATACTCACATTACCCAAAAGAATCTGCTTCTGATCATAGAAGAGTTGAATATATTGTTCACAGGAGAAGAGATCACTGTAAACTATTTATCAGCTGAAAACAAATTATCAGAGAAAAACAGAAATGCAGGTGAGAACTTCTGAAGGTACAGCACTGGAAAAAAGGTTAGGGAGAAACTCCTTACTTGATCTCAAGTCAGTCTTTGAGGTTTCACTCCATCATATGAAAGTTTTATCCTAAGCAGTTGTTCATATGAAATTGAGGATGAACCTATGAAGAGTGTATTTCAATCATAGAAGAAACATTTTTGCTTTTTTTAATGCTGCGGTCAAAATACATTATGTGGATAAAAATACACTGAACTAGTGACCGTAGTCTTCTGCTGGCCTGCACTTAGAAGATCCATCTGATCAGAATCACAGAATGACTGAATGGTTGAGGTTGGCAGGGTCCTCTGGAGGTCAGCTGGTCCAACCCCCTTGGTCAAGCAGGACTACCTAGAGCCAGTTGCCCGGGACCATTCCCATACAGCTTTTGGGTATCTCCAAAGATGGAAACTCAGCCACCTCCCTGGGCAACCTGTGCCAATGCTCAGTCACCTTCACAGTGAAAAAGCGTTTCCTGATGTTCAGAGGGAACCTCCTGTGTTTCAGTCTGTGCCCATTGCCTCTGGTCCTGGCACTGGGCGCCATGGAAAAGAGCCTGACTACGTCCTCTTTGCACCCTCCCTGCAGGTATTTATACACAATAATAAGATCCCCCCCGAGCCTTCTCTTCTCCAGGCTGGAGTCCCAGCTCTCTCAGTCTTTCCTCCTAGAACAGATGCTCTGGTCCCTTCATCCTATTGGTCGT